ATTAAAGTGAAGTTAAAAGTTTTTAAAACAACAGTTTTGTTGTCATGTGTAAACTGTCCTCTGCTGTCTGCCTCTTGACCGACAGGGGGCAGCAGGAATGAAACACCTCGCTGTAGCGCAAACTCAGAGAACAGAGAAGAAGAAGAAGAAGCGTTTCCGGTTGTAGTCAAAACAAGAGGGAGGAATGTCCGCCTCAGAGGAAATCAAGCGTCTGGAATATTTATCTCTGGTGTCCAAGGTTTGCACGGAGCTGGAGAATCATCTGGGGATAAGCGAGAAGGATTTAGGTAAAGCTACGACGCTGTGTTTCCCGTCTTAACCATGCTAACAGAGCTTAGCTTCACCTGTGTGTAGCGTTAGCATGTGTCGCTGAGCTGCAGCTGCTGTGTCTTCGCAGCGGAATTCGTCATCAGCCTCGCGGAGACGCACCCGACGTTTGAGGAGTTCAAATCTGTGCTGACGCAAAATGGAGCAGATTTCACCGTGAGTGTCCGACATCGTGCACATTGTTGTTAAATCTCCTGGACTCACGCGCGTGTCTCTCCCTCCAGGACACCCTCATCGGAAATGTACTTCGTCTCATTCACACTATGCGGCCGTCGCCGTCCACGAGCAAAGGTACAGACACGTCTCACACACTCGTGGTTGAAAAAGTTTAAAAAGAGTCTTGTCCAGGTGTTGATCTACTGTCACGTGATGTTTCCCACCAGCAGAGGTGAAGCCACAGAGCGAGCAGCAGCAGCTGAAGGAGAAATATCCTGCTCTGTGCCAACCGGATGATCCTGTGTGGAGGGTAGGGAAAGTCCCTCTCCTCTTCTTCTCCTGTAAATCTTTGTTTCCTCTGGTAAACTCTTAAAGTAAAGCAGTGTTGGGAGTGTAGGGGCTTTTCTCTGGGCGCTTCTCCTTCCTTCCCGCAGGTTAAAGACGTGCAGATTGAGTTTTGGTTAATTGATCGCTTCACACCCCCCTCCAACAACAAGCGGAGCAGATAATAGATGGATACAGAGGTCGCTGTAGTTTGTCGTGTTTCTGTAAGTCATCGTGCTGTTGTCACTAACTTTCACCTTTTTAACCAGGCTCCACCTGTTCACATCAACAAAGACGATGAGCAGGTCGCTGCAGCTGCCATGAAGGAGCTGGAGATGCTAATGCCTAATATTTGTGGGACGAGCTCTGACAGCAGGTAATTTAATAATAAGTGCCATGACAAAACAAGAGATTGATAATTGATAATCCAGAATATATATTCTTTATAACCCCATCACACTGACGACATTCAGAATAACAGCTGTACTTTTTCTTTTCTCATTTGTCCTCACGTCACAATAACAGAGGTCGAGATGCAGGCAGAGAAAGCGGACGTAAGCGAAGTCGATCTCGCTCCAGATCAAGAGACCGTGTTGAAGAAACAAACCCCAAGCCGAAAAGGAAACGCCCATCTCGCTGGAGTGACCATCCGCCGAGCCCGGAGAGAGACAAAGACAACAACGCTCACAAGAAAGAGGCGGAGGAGGAGGAGCGCAGGAACAGCAGACCCGTGGACAGGCCTCTGTCAGACGAGCCTGTCGTGGGAGACATCTACAACGGCAAAATTAGCAGCCTGATGCAGTTTGGTTGTTTCGTGCAGCTGGAGGGCCTCAGGTCAGTGATGGACTCTTCACAGTAAACTTCTATTTTTGTTGACTTTCAGAATTTTTACATTTCTGCTTCCCGACCCTTAGTGATTCTATTTCATCTGTATTTAAAATTAGGCCGCTCACGCCGAAGACGAGTGCCCCTTAGTGTACTGTAACTTTTGTTGTCTGCAGAAAACGCTGGGAGGGTCTGGTGCACATCTCAGAATTGCGCAAAGAAGGACGTATTGCAAATGTGGCTGATGTGGTCACCAGAGGCCAAAAGGTGAAGGTCAAAGTGCTGTCATTCACAGGAAGCAAAACCAGCCTGAGCATGAAGGTGAGGCCACCTCCTCCTTTATGGTTTATAATAAAGACGGTATGTTAATCGCCAACTGAAAAGTTTCCAGGTGATTTAAAGTTTAGAAGATGGACAACTTGTTTTTCTGATAAAACTTGTCCGTCTTTTAAAAACTGTTATGTTAAACAATATGCAAACATTTATTCGCCTTTGATTTATCGTGGTCATTGTGTCCAGGATGTTGACCAGGAGACGGGGGAGGACCTGAATCCCAACCGAAGAAGGAACCTGGACACTGGAGTGAGAGATGAACCCATGAGGAATCCCGATCGCCCCACGGAGGCCAATCTGATAGAAGTCGAGGACAATCCAACGGAACACAAACGGCTCGCCAAGATAACTGACCTGGAAAAGTGGGAGATTAAACAGGTGCTCATCAAACACACTTTTTTAATCAAGATATCTTCATAGGTTATTATTATATCTTCATAATAGTTATAATTATATTGTTCTTTTTAGATGATTGCAGCCAATGTTCTTCCTCGAGAAGAGTTCCCAGAATTTGACGAGGAGACGGGAATCCTTCCCAAAATAGACGAGGATGAAGGTAAAATTCTACACTTTGATTCACACGATCTTTCATAATCAGAGTTGTTCTGCATAATAAGTAAAATCATGATTCCCTTCTCAGATGAAGATGTCGAGATCGATCTGGTTGAAGAGGAGCCACCATTCCTCCAGGGACAGACAAAATGGACCTTGAACATGAGCCCAGTCAAAATAGTGAAGGTAATTATCCAGACTCCAGGAAGTCGTCTGTGGTGTGGCTGCATATGTGCTAATAATAATAAGAAGAAGAAGAAGCCAGAGGTTTTGCATTAAACAAAGTAAAGTACATGAATACCTGGAAGTGTACTGGGATCTGTGAATACTGATGCAGTTTTTATTTGGTCTCATTTTGTCCATTAGAATCCAGATGGCTCTCTCTCCCAAGCAGCCATGATGCAGAGCGCTCTGTCTAAGGAGAGACGAGAGCTGAAGCAGGCGGCTCGCGCAGCAGAGATGGACTGTATCCCTACCGGTCTCCACAAGAACTGGATCGACCCCATGCCGGACTGTAAGCAGCTACACAACACGTTTTTTTAAAATGATCCAGCAGAAACTTAAATAATCTGTAGATTTAAACATGTGACAGAAACTGACACTGTGATTTCTTCAATCAGAGAATAATTATGAAACAAAGACGATCGATGTTTTGTCCGCGATTTTATAATAAGAGGAATAAAATGAGTCTGTCCTGCGCCAGGCCTATTACACTGTTACACTGTTACCATGCCACGGCTGGAGATGGTTATCTAGCTTCCCTATGAGTTTATTCTTGCACACTCACAGACATAATGCACTGGGACTCTGTCTTCCATAAGCCTGAGGGGATATCAGAGGCTTTCCAAGTTCCTTCCAGCTGGTCACTTCTACCTCTGACTCATAGTTTAATACAGAAAGATCTAGTTGGGAAGTTGATTATCGTTGCAGTTAATCTTAATCAAACCAAATGGTAGATTGCAGGAGGTTGAGATGGATCTTGCCGGAAGTTGACGTCTCTCGACTCACTGTTTCTCTCCCGTGAAGATGAAGGAAGGCAGATCGCTGCCAACATGAGGGGCATCGGCGCGATGCCTGTTGACGTCCCGGCGTGGAAACGATACGCCTTTGGAGGGAACCAGGTTTCTTACGGCAAGAAGACGGAACTTTCCATCCTGCAGCAGAGAGAGAGCTTACCCATTTTCAAACTTAAGGAGCAGCTCATTCAGGTGAGATTTTATGCGGAGCGGGAAATGATTGTGAAACTAAATGAACTAATTACATCGATCCAGTGTCACCAATATCAACAATACCTCTCCCTCTCTTGACAGGCTGTCCACGACAACCAGATCTTGATTGTTGTTGGAGAAACTGGCTCCGGTAAGACCACACAGATCACTCAGTACCTGGCAGAGGTGGGCTACACCTCCCGGGGGAAGATTGGTTGTACGCAGCCCCGTCGAGTAGCCGCCATGTCAGTGGCCAAGAGAGTCTCTGAGGAGTACGGCTGCCGTTTAGGCCAAGAGGTCCGTGAGCGTAGACTTTATCCCATGTGGCATCTATTTCAAATTAGTTAGAGTTTGGAAGATCGCCTCACATTTTTTTTTACCATCACCTTAGGTGGGTTACACCATTCGTTTTGAGGACTGCACCAGCACAGAGACCGTGATCAAGTACATGACCCACGGTATGCTGCAGAGGGAGTGTCTGGTGGACTCGGACATGAGCCAGTATTCCCTCATCATGCTCGACGAGGCCCACGAGAGAACAATCCACACCGACGTCTTATTCGGCCTCCTCAAGAAGGTGATCTACCAATCTTACAAATGTCAAATGTAGAAGGAGAAGATACTTCAGCTGAATAAAGAAAAGTAGAAAAGTAAATGACCGAATTACCTTTTTGTCCCACTTGTTCATCCTCATCCTCTCTCTCTTTCTCTTCCTCTTCTAGACGATACTAAAACGTAAAGACCTGAAGCTGATCGTCTCCTCTGCAACACTGGATGCTGTCAAATTCTCCCAGTACTTCTTTGAAGCACCCATCTTCACCATCCCGGGAAGAACCTTCCCAGTGGAGGTGCTTTACACCAAAGAGCCCGAGACAGACTACCTGGACGCCAGTCTCATCACCGTCATGCAGATCCATTTAACTGAGCCTCCGGGTATGGCTGCTGAAACTGGATTCCCTAAACCACGTTGAATTTAAGGTCACTGTTGTCCCGAAGACTTATTTTGAGGTATTTGAAACATCGCCAACTTTTTCTTTCTGTTCCGTTGCTCAGGTGACATCCTGGTGTTTCTGACCGGACAGGAAGAGATCGACACGGCCTGTGAGATCCTGTACGATCGGATGAAGTCGCTGGGGCCAAACGTGCCCGAGCTGATTATTCTGCCCGTTTATTCGGCCCTGCCCAGCGAGATGCAGACCAGAATCTTCGACCCTGCACCGCCGGGCAGCAGAAAGGTAATGTCCTGGATATTGTGTTTTAATTCTTTAAACCCAGTTTATTAATTACACTTTTCTTTTTTTATAAAGTTCAAATGTAGAAGACTGAGACTCTCGCTTGTATTTCTTTTGTTTACAACCAGGTCATCATTGCCACTAATATTGCGGAGACGTCTCTGACCATCGATGGGATCTACTACGTTGTGGATCCTGGTTTCGTCAAGCAGATCGTGTATAATTCCAAGACCGGCATCGACCAACTTTTGGTGACTCCCATATCACAGGTCCTTGAATTAAACACAGTCGTCATCATGAGGACATTAAGCATTTTATACTTGGTGACCTCAGTGGTTTGAATTCTACCCTGAACACCTGAAAAAGCCTCGGTAGTGATTCGATGGACTCCCTGGTTTCTTTTGTTTTTAGGCTCAGGCCAAGCAGAGGGCGGGGCGAGCCGGCAGAACGGGCCCAGGGAAGTGTTACAGACTCTACACAGAGAGAGCCTACAGAGACGAGATGCTCGTATCCAACGTGCCCGAGATCCAGAGAACCAACCTGGCCAGCACTGTGCTGTCTCTGAAGGTGATTGAACGCCTCCGTGAATCCGTCGTTCAAGAAGCTGCGAGAAAAAGTGTAATAATGTTTCTGTCCTCCCGTGCTCTGCTCACCGCCACAGGCCATGGGCATCAATGACCTCCTGGCTTTCGACTTCATGGACGCTCCTCCCATGGAGACTCTGATCATAGCCATGGAGCAGCTCTACACTCTGGGAGCTCTGGACGATGAGGGTTTACTCACCAGGCTCGGTAGAAGGGTGAGGAGTGAAATCAATGTGATCTGCATTTACTGATCTAAGAAAATCAATCACAGTATTCACAATATGGTTTCGATTAAATGTTAAAACCACGCATCGCTAACTGTCTGTGTCTGTGGTTCAGATGGCCGAGTTTCCTCTGGAGCCGATGCTGTGTAAGATGTTGATCATGTCCGTCCACCTGGGCTGCAGCGAAGAGATGCTCACCATCGTCTCCATGTTGTCTGTTCAGAACATCTTTTATCGACCAAAGGTTTGTGAAATCGTTCTTCTTCAAATCAGATTCACTTCTACAACATACTGTTCGTTTTGAAGTATGTTTATGACAAAGTTAACTCTGTAAATCACACATCAGACTCCTCTAACACTAAATTCAACCCTTCCAATCTTAGGACAAACAGGCGCAGGCTGACCAGAGGAAGACCAAGTTCTTTCAGTCGGAGGGAGACCACCTCACACTGCTGGCTGTCTACAACTCCTGGAAGAACAACAAGTTCTCCAACCCCTGGTGTTTCGAGAACTTCATCCAGGCTCGTTCATTAAAGAGAGCGCAGGACATTCGGAAGCAGATGCTGAGCATCATGGACAGGTGTGAACAACTGTCGGAAAACGGTCCTGTAACATTACTGATGCATTTTAACCTCGATCATACTCTGTACATGGTTTCTTATTTGTATACGTAGTTGAAAATGTGTAAATGAGGTGAAATATTTCCCAGGCACATGCTGGACGTGGTGTCTTGTGGAAAAAGTACCATGCGGGTCCAGAAAGCTATTTGCAGTGGTTTCTTCAGAAACGCAGCCAGGAAGCACCCGCAGGACGGCTACCGGACCCTGATTGACCAGCAGGTGGTGTACCTGCACCCCTCCAGTACTCTGTTCAACCGCCAACCAGAGTGGTGAGTCTGCATTATTATTAAAAAAAACTATTTGCTGCAGTATAAGTCACAAATCTTTCTCCTCCTCCATGTTAGCAGACTGGAAACTAACACGTGCACTTCCAGTAACTTTGTCAAAGATGGTTTGATGCTGTTAAAAGCCGGAGTAACGTCATGATTGATCTCTAACTGTATTTGTTTTGTCCTCTCTCACTCGTCAGGCTTGTGTATCATGAGTTGGTGCTGACCACCAAGGAATACATGCGGGAGGTGACCACCATCGACCCTCGCTGGCTGGTGGAGTTCGCCCCGGCTTTCTTCAGGGTCGCTGACCCCACGCGCCTCAGTCGACAGAAGCGGATGCAAAAACTGGAACCTCTCTACAACCGCTACGAGGAACCCAACGCCTGGAGGATCTCCCGCGCCTTCAGACGCCGCTGAAGACTCGTCGGTCTCATACCAGGGGGACGTTACAGACTGAGCCGGTTAACGGCTGAAAAAGACAATTTGATTTCATGGTTTAATTTTGCTTTGTCGATTTTAAAATCTTGGTAATTGTCTTGTAAGAATATTTTTTTTTCTGATGTCGGTTTTTCATCGTCACAGATAAACACTGGATGCACTTTAATCTGCTGCCACGTCTCATTTAACTCTGAATCACTGAAAAGCAGTTTCATGAAAGACAGAAGAACGGTTTGGATGTTATTATGGGTATTTATTAAGCAATCTCTTCGACCACAGTCATGTTTATGGAGTGAATAGGCCTCAGATGTGAGAGGAATGCAGCTCTTAAAAACAAAACAAAAAATCCCTAATGAGATTAATTTAAAAACAAAAACACCATAGCCTTATATACAAGTGGATGGGGTGGGCATGTGCAAGAGGTGCATGGGGTTTCAGGGTCGTGTATGATGATGGGTCGGTACAACAGGAAGATTTCTGAAGGCGGGGAGAAAGGAGAGAGAGAGGGCGGTGGCTGGCTTTAGTACATGTAGCCTTTGGAGTAGGGCTGGGGGCCCATGTTTTGGGGGGCTTGTTCCGTGGTGTAGGGCACCCCCTCGTCCAGGTGGGACAGGGGCACCGTGTCCTCCTCGTTGACGTAGCGCTCGAACTCGGCCTTCAGGCTGGGCCGCTGATTGTCGGGGAAGGCCAGAGAGATGAGGGCCTCGGGCTCACACACAAACTTGTAAACGTAGCGCTCGCCCGCCACCTGGAGAGAGAGAGAGAGGGCTTGAGTCATACAGGAATGCATGTAAAAAATACTGTTACGTTCAGGTGCGCAGACAACACTGATCTGACTTCCTGTTTCCAGTAAAGGATCAGATCTGCGTCACTAAAGCGCAGCGACCCAGTTATCAGAGACTCAGCTCTGATTGATTGTGAGAGCGTTTAATGTGACTCACATGCTGCACGTCGTTACACACAAACGTGGAAGTATGGACGCGGCAAATCTTGTAAACTAGATCATTTTCACATTCATCTTGAAGATGAAAACAGCAATTTGCACGATGCCCAAGAAAGAAAATACATAAACCTTTCTAAATAAGATTCCCTGTCATTTAAAGTTTTTAAAAAGATTTTTACAAGATATTTTATTATTTCTAAATTGTGCACTGTTTATTATTAACTGTAGGAAACAGGTTTCGCTTAT